AAATAACCCCACAAAGCCCTGCAGCAGGTGAGACTAGGCACAGCTGCTGAAGAGCTAGCAATCAGCAAATTCCACTGTTCAGCCAGTACACTGAGGTACCCCAAAGCTATGTCTACATTGGCCCCTATTACGGAATAGGCATGCAAATGTAGCACTACTTGCAAGTAGGAATAAGAGATCCTCCAGAATAGGGCTTTATTCCGGAGGATCGCGCCAGTCTGGACGCTTTTCTCCGGCTTATCTCCAAGCCGGAAAAAAGCGGCGGCCATGAAAATGCAAATGCCACGGGGGATATTTAAACCCCCCGCCGATTTTCCTCTTCCAAAGTGCTACATTTGCATGCCTATTCCATAATAGACGGCCAGTGTAGACACAGCCCAAGTGAATCTGGCTGTATGGATAAAGGTGCCACTCTCCGAGCAGGAAGGCAACAGCACTGGTACCTCTCAAGCTCCCTAGACTTTGAAGTCAAGGATGGCAGTCTCTTCCTAAGCCCTGCTCTAGTTTAACCAAAATTTCTAGGCTGGATCCAGAAACCCCGGGGGGTATGTCTACACTACCCTCCTAGTTCGAACTAGGAGGGTAATGTATGCATACCGCACTTGCTAATGAAGCCCGGGATTTGAATTTCCCGGGCTTCATTAGCATAAGCGGGGAGCCGCCATTTTTAAATCCCCGCTGCTTCGAACCCCGTGTAGCGCGGCTACACGGCTCCCCGCTTATGCTAATGAAGCCCGGGAAATTCAAATCCCGGGCTTCATTAGCAAGTGCGGTATGCATACATTACCCCGCTAGTTCGAACAAGCGGGGTAGTGTAGACATACCCTGGGTGAGTTCTCCAGCCTGTGTTTGCAGGAGGTCAGACTAGATGATGCTAATAGTCCCTCTGGTGTTAACATCTAAGAATCAGTAAACACTGCATCCAGCTCTGGGCATTTCTCTGTCAGAAAGATGCAGACAAAGGCCCAAGAGCAATGGAAACAGCCATGAATCATTGAATCATAGAAGACTAGGGTTTGAAGAGACCACAGGAAGTTATCCAATCCAACTCCTGCTCAAAGCAGGACCAACCCCAACTAAACCATCCCAGACAGGGCTATGTCAAGACTGGCCTTAAAAAAACTCTAGCAATGGAGATTCCACCACTTCTCTAGGCAACCCATTCCAGTGCTTCACCATCCTCCTAGGGAAATAGTTTTTCCTAATCTCCAACCTAGACCTCCCCCACTGCAACTTGAGACCATTGCTCCTTGTTCAGCCCTCTGTCACCACTGAGAACAGCCTGGCTTCATCCTCTTTGGAATCCCCCTTCAGAGAGTTGAAGGCTATCACGTCCCCCTTCATTCTCTTTTGCAGGCTAAGTAAGCCCAGTTCCTTCAGCCTCTGCTCCTAAATTGTGCCCCAGCCCCTTAATAATTTTTTATCCTGTCTGTGGGATTGTCTCCAATTTGTCCATATCCTTTCTGTAGTGGGGGGGGGG